CCCCAACCCCCCGTCTATTCACATCTACCTTCCATTTTTGTGTTCTCACTAGAAGTGCCTGATTATGGCACGTGCTCTATCTTTAAGTTAGCGGCATTACATTAAGCCCCGTTAGGAATTAAAGGTAATTTGACATCTCTATCTTGGTGGTCAATGAAACATACTTGACATAAGTTCCAATAATAGTCGATGACTACCAATTTAATTGCCAAAAAGGTGTGGGAACCAATGAATAAAACAAATTTTAGAAAAAAATATTTTGACTGTCAGGTAACAATAGAAAACGACGCTTCCTAAACCTAGAACACAGAGAGCTGTGTAGATTAAAGCACTTTGAACAAACGCTGATGAGTAGAGAGGAGGGAGATGAGGGGCCAGCTTAAGAGCAGATTAAAGACAAGCGTGTGTCCGCTTTCGTGTTCAGTTGTGGGGGAGGGGGGGGGGGGGAAGGAATACCAAAGGTGCTTATGCGGGTTACTTGGGCAAGCACGTGTACGAGGTATGTGCGCAGGTCAGGTGATCTTTCAAATGAAATGGGAGAGTTATTGGAAAAGGAGGATCGATGAGCTTGTTCAAATATTAGACATCTTTTACAGAGAATGAAAAATGCAAAGAGAGCCTCTTTCAACCAGCCATATCAAAATACCCCAAAGAAAGTTGTGATGCATTACTTCCTTACTAACCGTTTAAGGAGGAATGAATAAAAACGATCTGACTATTATATAACAATGATATAACAATAATAATAGTATAATAATAATATAATATAATAATGATATAACAATAATATAATGCTTTTTTTAGAAGCAAATACATACCTCTGCGACATTCCGTGCAATAAATCTCCTAAAGATACAATAAATTAAGATTAACATTAGCGTATTTTACATCGAAGAGGTAGAATTTTAAGGAAACAGAATTGGTTACTTTGAAGCCGCGATGGGAGAGGATCTGCTCATCGCTGGATAGTAGAGCAATGCTTCAGTGGGTGAGGATAGAATTTCGTTCAGAATCGCCTTCAGATGTGGGAATCTTCTACGGTTTCGCCCGGTAAAAGCACCTAAAGTGGAGAGCAATAGTGAAAATACTTGTTAAAAGAACGCAATTAACAGCTCGCAAGACCACTGAGTGTAAAATACCCTTCATCTGCTCCATCGAGTAGTTGGTGCATAACCTAGAAGATAACGTCCAATCACGGCATCCATTATTTATCTGCATTGATCAATTCAAAATTTAATTTAGCATCTACTTTTTGACGCCTACAATAATTGCAATAACTATTGGCTGTGTTAATAAGCATTATAAACTAACTAATTAATAAAGCATTCCCTATTCTAGAACAATCTAAGTCAATACACCTTTAGAATTATGCTTCAAGAGGCGTATAGAGACAGAATAGAAGCAATCAGCTGAAACGAAAAATATTTGATGAACCCTAGTATCCTCAATATTAATGGGCCTTTGTTGTGGAGGTCTTGTTGGTTTGGTTATGCAAGCTCACCATTATACGTCGTTTGATTAGAGTCCCCAACACGGAAACTTAAGTGAGATGGCTAATCTATTCTTACCTCTATATAAAGAAGCGAATAGAGAAGCTGTAGCCAATTACATCAGACAATCAATGAGATCTAAGTATTGTGGATACACTCACAACCATAAAGTTGAACGATAGGGCATTAAAAAGTAAAGAATATGGAAACATTAATGTTTTACAAAAGAAAATACAAGGTAACCCGATGCCCTGGCTTAGGTATCTGCTTTGGTCCTTCCAAGTTTCTCATTTGACAAGAATGCTATCCCCAATATTCATACCCTCTTTTAGGAGTAAAAATTGCAACTCTTTGTGACACGGTGAGGTCCCCACTTTCTCATTTTTTAAGGGTAAAGGATTGAATAGTTTAATAAAAGGCACTAGAGATTATGGCACTGGCAAAACTTACTCTTTGGTACTAAATTACGCAAAGACCAGAGCACCCAGAGCTTCACCTCTAGACGAGTCTTGGGATTGGAAATGAGAATTGCAAAATGCTTCAAATCGAGAACGTATTGAGGAGGTAGTTCGAAGGGTGGCCTCCAATGGCGAATCATCGCTCCCTATAATAATAAAAATACACTCCGAGGTCAATTTTAATTATACAGCAAAGCAGACCAAAGACCTGCCTCATCAAAGTATCAGTATTCTGGCAGTAGAAAAGTTTTTAATTTATTTTCTACTTACGTCTACCTCTACGTACCACCCCCCCCCCAGAAAAATTACAATTCAGCCTTGATTGTAATGAATTCCAATACCCTAGAGTAGGAAGCATAAATCATATAAATAGTTATTAACTTGAGGAAAAGTATAAAATGGTACGGCGCGGTAAAAGAGATTAAAATACTGTTAGTAACGTAAATGACATATAGTGCGTTTATGGCAAATGGAACACAAAAAGCCTCCAACTTTGTTAGTATCCAAAAGTTTAAGCATGATCCCGAACTTTACATTACATTAGGCCGAGTGTATGATGTGGATGCGTTTGTTGAATGTGTTGACAAACTGACCACATGATTAGCCAGTATAATCAGTATATTTCAGCTTTGCGCAAGGCGATTTCTAATTGGTTGAGGTTTGTGCGTGTCTGGAAGCATATTACAGAATTCGCTATAGTTAATGAGATAGCCCTGAGTACTATGCGAGTTATACTTGGATAGCCTAGATCATATAAAAAACAGTTGACGTAAAAGCGTTACGTGAGTTAACTACCGGAGCATCTAGTGAGGCGTCGGATTTTGCAATTTTTTTTAAAACGTAGACGAGGTGAGTTCGACTTCGTTCGTTCCTTCATGTGAGTCCTGTCAACTTCATTCTCTGCTGTCTAAACTCCATTTGCCAGCTTTTGTCTGGTGTGTTCTATTCCCATCTACATCGCCTTCCAAGCTATCATTCATATAATGAGCAATATGTAAATTCCTGCGTGGTTGCTCGAAAGTGAGCATAATTATCTAATCGTTCTATGCTCTCTTATTCAATACTTCTCTGGAACTCTTTTCCAATGTGCGAATGTTGTAACGGTGTAAATAACTCACTTCCATTTATAACCCGAACTCTCAATTTCCATAAAATTACAAAACACAGTATACTAATGCTTGTATTGTCCATTTTTCCTAACTATTGCCTATAGTAACTAATTCAACAGCATTTTTCAGTCTTTAGATATATTAAAATTTCACTACCACTGGTCTCTACGTCTCCTCCTATTGTTTTTAAATTTACATTCGTTTTTTGCTCAACTGCTTTCCGTTTTGGTTTTTGTCGATGATCAAATTCCCCCCCCCCTCCGGCTTGCCTCGGAGTAAAATTCGAATATTATAAAAAAAGTTAGCCAATCACATTTAATTTCTTGGTAAAGTACGGTAAAAACCACCCTTTAGGCTGCAGTTATTTTCACTTAGTAATTCTGGGTAAGTAAGTATAACTATTAGAAATAAACCGATGCCCTTTTCGCTAGGTTTCGATAAAATCTGAATGTAAATGTAAGTTTATTCTTACTCAATTCCATCTAAACTGAAATCGATGTGGGAAAACCAATCAGATGGACCATTTAAATTAATGACTCACCAAACACTCGTATACATCATCGATGTGCCCAAATTTTAAATGGCGCCATCTTCCGCCATGGATAGTTGTGACGGTGGATATAAGTTTGGAGGCAAGGTAGGACATTTCAAATGATGGACAATACAATCTTACGCTGAAATTGGAAGAAGAAGAAGAAATGTGAACGACAGAGTTGCAAAAAAATTTTTCTTGGTCAGTTTTAAAATGTTTCATTTGTGAATGAAAATGAACTGGAGTCGCCATTAAGGAAAAATTATGGTCAACAATCTTTTCATTTTTACTTGGATTAACCATATGGTTGGTCAACCATATCACTGAATGTGAACATATTACCATCGACGTACGGAGGCAATATGAGTGACCTAACTAACATCGTTCAAATGTAGTCCTCATTCTGGGCAAGATTAATCACTTTATATGATGAAAATCGGGGTGCTCGATAGACTTATCTCCACGTGGTGCATCCTGGTCAACGTATACTCATAAAATAAAAAGGTCCATAGACCACTAGCTGACTTCTGACTTCAAACTACTATGGCCCGACTCAATGCCCATATTTGACCACTTTCACAGTACCCATCTCATCTTACCTTTTCCCCTACCTTTGTGTCTGTCTGTCTCTTTTACATCTGTGAATCACTCTTCTGACCCTCCCCTCCCTGGACTTTCGTGACTCTGATGTTCCTCCCTCTGTGAAGCCCGAGGTCAACTAAAGAGGCTAATGATAGCTATCATAAAACCAAATATTATGAAGATCATGTTCTATTGCTAATCAATAGATCATATTATCCTTCCACTGCTGTATCCCAAAAGCAAGTGGCTACGACCTGAACTCTCTTGATATGTGGGGATATTCTCCCTCGGATTGCTGGTATCATGACAAGGACTAATAGCAATGACCACTAGGTTGCGAAAAATTCAATAGAATCAAAATAGTATTCACTAAACCGCCAATTTTCAATGGTATTTTGTCATTTTTTATGTGAATTTACATCAGTGCTATGTTACTGAAAATTTACGCGTGCAAATTTAAGAGTTGCTGTGGCTGCACCATGAGCCAATTCTTTGTAACATTTTTTGATTTTAAGTGTTCCTCCTGGGCGGACATGGCATACTGCGGAATAATATGTTCCATAGGAGAATAGAGTAGCTCAGTGTTCCGAGAAATCAATCAAATTAGGATTTGTAGTGCTCGGTGGTTCATTTACT